GGTCTACTCTTATTTATCCCCAGAATGATGTCCCGGAACCCTAGACGGGAAGATTTGTCCCACAGTATGTCTAACTTCAGCTGACAATTATGCTTCCTCTATCATAGTCTAGCCTTCCCCGTGTGGGTTCCGGGGCCCTATTGTAGGGAAAACAAGAATAGACCCACTGCCTACCCAAAAGCATGTTGTAAGAGTGGACTAGCTGGGGAGCTTCATTTGAAGTCGGAGCGCATCTGTCTGAGAGGCAAGGAACCAGCAGTCTGCATTCAGTTGAATCAGATATGTAAAACTGATGCACACGCAACACTCAGGTTCTGAAGCAGTACTGCAGTCCAGAAGTGGACGAACAACCAGAACTTTCCACCAGAGTGTACAGCTGGTGAACGCAAAGAAGAAGAAGATAATCTAGCCAGTCACTTCTAGACGAAGTTTAGATACCTACGTCTCTGGAGAAATATTATCTATTGTCTGCCCCCCCCCCCTTTTTTTCCACCAAATTGATAAAATGCCTCTTCCGAACTAGTATATAGCCGTTTCCACTTAAGCCGAACTCTGATAAGTCGAATTTCGCTCAAGTCGACATGACCAGCTTAGTTCCGGCTACCCCCGTGTGGGTTCCGGGGTCCCATTGTGGGGAAAACAAGAATAGACCTACTGCCTCCCCCAAAAGCATGTCGTAAGAGTCGACTAATTGGGCAGCTTCCTTTGAAGTCGGAATGCATCTGCCGGAGAGGCAAGGAACCAACAGTCTGTATTCAAGAGAATGAGATCTGTGAAACTGATGCACACGCAACACTCAGGTTCTGGAGCAGGACTGCAGTTCAGTAGTGGACGAGCAACCAGAACTTTCCGCCAGAGTGTTCAGCTGGTGAACGCGAAGAAGAAGAAGAAGTTCCGGCTATTTTCCTTTAGTATCTTTATATTTAAAATCCTGATAAGTCGAATTCTGTTAACTCGAATATTTGGATAAGTCGAATGTAAAAATAAATTTCGATTGCATTTGAGTCAAACTTTCATTATAATTAAAAAACATTTTTTTTTTCATCAAATAATTTTCTTTACTCAGCCCGGGAAAAACGTAAAATCTCGCAGCTATCTCCAAACAATCAGTATTAACAATTTCAGAGGGGGCTGCATTGTCTCGAGGCATGGTGTCCGCCTCGAGTGCTAGAGGTTCCGGGTTTAATCCCGGGTAAGGGCTGGGATGTTTTTCACGTGGACATGGATTTCTAGTAATTCCACCCGGTCTCTGGGTAGTGATATCGGACGCCCGTGTGCATTGTTGCGCGCGTAAAAAAATTCCTTGGCAGTTGGAAATCAAAAAGAGTAGCATAACGGCGCTGCCCGAGCAAAATTGTGAGTTAAAAATCTACCTGAAGTATTTCAGGATGCTCGCCGGTGCTACAGAGCCTGTGCACTGTGTGACATTCTTTGGAATCAGACGTGAGCTAGAAGAAAAACGGAGCACTTATGGTGTTGATCAGTTGTTCAAACCTTAGACGTCACTAACAATTTCGGCTGGTGGTTGAAAGCTGACTACTTTAACTAGAATTAAGGTTTGCCTAGTGATCTATTAGGTCTACCTATATAGACAACACGCCTGATAGAGTGGCAAAGCGTTCTATTACTTTATAGTGACCACGGCCAGCTCCAGATTTATAAGGCCGTACAGCTCGAACGGGAATTCCCGTTCTTGTGCAAGAATTAAGTCCCTCTGCGTCCACAGTTTCTATCGAGGAGATGTATACGCAAATTAAACTACAGTTTCATTAATTTTCGACACATTTTTTAGAACTATACGTCATTTTTAAGGTAAATAAGTGTGCCGAATAAATATAACAATAAAGGCTCTTACAGACAAACAAAAAGTCTTTTGCTACAGTCAACATGAACATAAACATACAATAACGTATAGATGAAAACTAAAAGTTGTTCCAGCAAAAGTAAAGAAATATCAGTGCTAACTCTTTGATTCTGAGAGGGTATTGTTGCATCAGGGGAGGGGGAGAGGGGAGGGGGAGAGGGGAGGGTAGGGGTGACATTTGTACTTTATCAAATTTAGCGCATAAATATACTGCTGTGAAACATACACATATCATACATAACATAAATATAAATAATTGATGGTTATTATTAGTAGTAGTAGACTACTACAACATATAATTATACTGTTATTTATTAATTAGTAAACAAGCACAATCAGTATGAAATTTATATGTGCAATACTTTTTTCACCCAGAGTAGTTTTCTTAACAGTACTTATAGCACCACTTAATATGTATCCTCAAGGTACAAACAGCACAAACAAATTTGTCCAGTTTCATCTTGTTGGATGAAATAAATTCCTTACCATTGCGAATTTTTTGGTAACAAATATGCATAGGAAGTGGATGAACAACCAGAAGTTTCCGCAAGAGTTTACAGCCAGTGTTCGCGAAGCATCTGTTTCTGCATCCGTTTCGTCTCAAAACGTCAGCAGTCTTTCTCGAAGTTTTTCACATTATAGCGAGTTTTCTCATGTTTTTCGTTACTGTTTGTGATTTTTGTAGGTGATTCATGAACGTGATTGTTGTGAAGTAATTCATGAATGTGATTGTTTTGAAGTAATTCATGAATGTTTTTATAAGTGATTTTTGTCCTCTGTATGTGATGCATGTTTATCATTATTGTGTCTGATTTTTTATGTATTTTTCTTCTGAGTAATTTGTTGTGTAATTTTAAAAAAAAAATGTGTATTTCGATTGTCGTATTTAAAGGCGTACTGGGAATGTCGTTTCCCAGTATTATTATTATTATTATTATTATTATTGACATTTTGGCACTTGGTGGATATTATATAAACATCATCTGACAACCAAGCCACTATATATTATTTTCAGTACCCATTCTGGATGTTTGCTTGGCACTTTAGGCCAGTTTTGAAACAGGAAAAAAAAAATCGCTATTTTCCGACAAGAATCGGAATATGTGAACAAGTGACCTGCAAAAATATGGGCTAGATAATGCAATATCATGCTGGTCTTCATGTCGTGGGTTCGGTTCGCTCCCTGGCGCAGTCAGACTTGTTTTTCAAAAAGGACCTTGACTCCCAGGTCGACCGAGCCTTGAGTGGGTACCGGGTGCAGTCCCGGGAAGGAAAGGCGGCCTGTGTGATGCTGACAGCATCACGCATCTTGTGCCGAAAACTCTATTAAAAATATAGGTCTAGCCCTATATGCCCTATATGTCTAAAGGCGTGGAAAAGGGTCCTTTACTTTTTACTATGCTCGTCTTCACTAGAAAGCCAGTATGTTTATAACCGAATCTCCTAATATCGTTTTCAACCACTCTCTGGATGATATATCAAGGTTGTGTCAACAAGAAGTCCATTGTTTGAAACAACCCAGATATATGTGTCATTCAGGCAATTATCGTATCCATATCACGTTTCTTACATTCTTGACAGGATGGGATGTAAAGGGATCCCTTTCCATATCTTACAATGTCTTCTCCTTCTTCTTCTTTCTTTCCTCTTCTTCTTCCTCCCCCTTTTCTTCTTCTGGTTCACAGACTGGATACTCCAGCGGAAAGTTCTAGCTGTTCGCCAACTTCTTCACTTTATTCTTGTTCCAGCACTTGAAAGTCTCGTTTTCTTTTTCGAAGATTGGGGGAACCCTAGGTTTGGTTTGTAAAGGACAATAAGGTGGAATCCTAGCTTTGTTTGTAAAGGGGGAATCCTATCTTTGTTTGTAAAGGTGGAATCCTAGCTTTGTTTGTAAAGGTGGAATCCTAGGTTTGCTTGTAAAGGTGGAATCCTAGTTGTTAACGGGAAATTACTGTGTGCTTTTTGGAGGAAAATAGAGTGCAATCATAATTAAATAAATTCCCAGTAAACAAAAACAAGACCATTTTCCATGCATGTTTGCGTAGTTCTCATACACACGAAGAATTTTAGGAAAATGCACTCAAGCCTCACAGTCGGTGGGTATTAAAAGTAATATAAACAAGAATAGAACATGCTATACCTTTCAGTTGATGGGTTGGGATTTGTCTTTTCGGTTTGAGCTTGTCAGTGGCCGGTTAGGTTTGCCATTTTTAATTTTCACCCAGGGTTTAAAGTATAAATTTAAAAAATTGAATAATTTAGCTTACGTTGTATGATAGGATCCCCCCCCCCCCCTAGAATTCACAAGGGGAAAAAGGGGTGGGGGCACACCTTTTTTCCCGTATGAATTCCTTGGGAAAGAGCCACAGCCTCCACGTGAAAGCGGAAACTTAGGAATTTTTTACTTTGGGGTCTGATCTCATCTGTGTCTGAGAGGTGAGGAGCCAACACTCAGCATACATGTGTGTCAGATCTGTAAAACGGATGTCCACGCAACACTTAAGTTCTGAAACAAGACTACATTTCAGAGATGGACGAACAAGCCGAACTTTCCGCTGGAGTTAGCTGTCTGTAAACGCGAAGAAAAAGAAAATACTGTCAATTAAAATATCTGGCATCACACCTATCGTGCGTTTAAAAAATGAAAGCACTGTTGCCTAAAGCTTCTCACTCCAACAACGGTATCTGAATTGTAAACACCTTAAAGTACTTTTTGTTTCTTGTCGCTAGTGACGCATGAGACGTCAGGTGCTGGTTTCATGATCACAGACCAATCAAAAATCGGAAAGTGGTGTGCTCAACATCACTCGGACCACCTTTACTTCCCAGGACACTATCTTGTATCCAATTTAGGCTGGGTCGACCTTTAGAGCCAAGGTCAATTTTGAAGAAGACGGAAAATAAACGCTCATGAGGACTCGAACCTTGGATCGACAAGGTAGCGTCAAGCCACCATGCTACCTCGGATCCCTTGCAACTGCCTTTGTTTTTTTGTTTTTTGTAAGGGAGTTTATGAGACATTTAATTTTTCCCTTTCTGTTTAATTTGGTACCCATTTCAATAAAATATACACTTGAACGAAGTCATTGACTGCTTACTGTAAACACGTCAACATGATTTTTTTCTTTCTTTCCAGAGCCGTCCAAGCGAGCACGCACAGCATACACCAGCGCACAGTTGGTAGAACTGGAGAAAGAGTTTCACTTCAACAGGTACTTGTGTCGCCCAAGAAGGATTGAAATGGCTGCGTTACTTAACCTTACAGAAAGGCAAATCAAGATATGGTTTCAAAATCGACGAATGAAATTCAAGAAAGAACAGAGGGGAAAGGGATCCATTGACAAGCATAGCACCAAGTCGGAGGGAAGTTTCTCTGGAAGTGACACAGAGAATTCCTCGTGCCATGGAATGTCTGGTTTAGGGGCAGATAGGAGTCCGGGTATCGTGGACTGTGTGGTTGCCAAAGCAGTGGCTGGAAATGTTGGGGGAAATAGCGTTGGTGGGACAACAGGGGACAACAACGGAGATATGAATGGCTTGCGTTTGTCACCAACATCCGGTCCTGGTGAGACAAACCACTTTCTGCAGGCGCGTCCAGTGAGAGGTCACTCCCCGAACACTTCCATGAATGACTTGGAGTCCGCTTGTAGCATGCAAGCCCAGACTCAGCTACGATCACAGAGTGGCATGCAACATCCTCATCATGAACCATCTGTTCTAACGCACCAACAGCAACAACAACAACAGCAGCAGAACATCAAATCCGAGAGTCCTAACTCAGGTATCATGTCACCTGGACAACCAAACGCTGTGAAGCTGAAAACCCAACAACAACAACAGCAGCAGCAGCAGTCTCGACAACCACAACATCAACCACCACCTTCCCACGGCCACGACAACCATTCTCCAGTACCACCAACTTTGAACCCCTATTCCCATGGCAATGTACACCAGCAGCGGCACCATCAGCAACAACACATCCCAAACCACAACTCCGGCTACGGACCTCTCCCTTCGAGACATTACCCTGGTGGCAACAACATGCTAGTGACTGGGAGTATGTATTCAGACATTAACCCTCTAGACAATCACACGAATGTACATAGTTCTATGAACTCTCACCCAGGTCTCAGTTCTCCCATGAACTGCTCTGGATCCACACTAGGGTACGCACAAGGCACCTATGACTACATCCCAAAACTGACTCATTTGTAGAGAACATTGCAAGCATTCTTGTCAAGGCTTTCTAGTGAAGAAATCATCGATATTACTCTTTTATTTATTAATTTTGTAATTTTTTTAAACATTTTGTTTGCACTGAAGGCATTCTTTCCACGATGTAATTATTATGAATATCCAACTGACTCGCAATCATTACAGAAGTAAATTGGAGATTTAGAGGTGAAATGATGGAGAATTTTTTTTCCAGAGTACCACTGACATTAAACAAATGTTTTATATAAAAAACAAAAGATCTATACATCAAGGAAGATAAGGTCGTAATCATTATCCTGTCTCGGAAAACTGAGATTTTTGTTTCCAGATCAAGCTTTATTGTGGTTTGAAAAGAACTGTAATGTGGGGGAGGGAGGAGGGAGGGTGGCATGGGGTCGGGCAGAATGGGCAGGAACCTACCAGAATGAACATGGGCACATGTTGTGGGCAAAAAAAAGTGCTGGAGGCGGAAAAGCTGACTGTAGACAGTATTTTTTTTAAATTATGTCTTTCTTTCTTTCTTTCTTTCTTTTTTTTTTTTTAACTGTTAAATCTGCAGCAGGTAGGCTATGATGATAGCTACGTTTTGAAAAAGATCCGCTATATGATGATGATGATGGTGGTTATTGTTATTCACGATATACTGCAGGTTCTTATCAACATCTGCTTTGTGTCGCTGGGCATCACAGTTGAACAGATAATGTGTAGCCAAGCTAGGGCGTGCTCGGTTGCATAGTTTGTTATGAAACCTTAAGCTGCCAGTGACTTCTCCAGTCCATTTTCTTGTACGTCGCTTTCTGCCTCTCAGTGTTTTCATTTTCCTGTAGGTTTTCCTTCTTCTAATTGTGACACATCTTCGCTTTAGACCAAGGTTAGGGAATCGGTGTTAACCCAAGAGCCATTCTTAACCACATTAAAAATTATAATTTGTAATAGTTAGCTTGATATATTTTGGCCTCAAATAGAAGGGCCAGGTCAAATGATTTAGTTGGCTATTTTTTTTTTTTTAACCCTAACGTATCCAGAAACCATGAGTTGTAAACCCTTTAGTTCGGTACTATGGATATCGCAACCCTTCGGCATTGATTCCATTATAGGTACCGTTAATCTGGGAGAAATGTGGCTTTTCTGCCTACCCCCGGGAGTGAACCCGGTCCACAAGGAGTTCGTCACCCGGCCGCCGCGAAAGTCAGGTTTAACCAACTTCGCTAGAGCTATATACTGCCCGTGTACACCTAATAGGGCAATAATGTAGTTAAAGAAAGGGGAACTCATAGATGTATTCAAATACGAATTCAAACAGCAAGAGGAGCTTTCATAGCGCTAAGAATGTTGTGGCGGCCAAAAGAAATTATTACGAATACTAAACCTAAAATTTTAATTCTTTTTTCAAATCAGTACTATCGTATAGTGCGGAAACATGGAGAACAGCAAAAATAATTATTAATAAACTACGAACTTTCATTAACTGGTAACTGTGCAGAATAGAAGGAATCAAATGGTATCAGAGAACACTAATGTAGAGCTTTGGGAGAGAACTAAACAACTCCCAGTTGACCAAGAGGGGAAGAAAAGACGCTGACGATAGACTCGACACACGATGAGGAAACCTGAAAAAATATAACAAGAATGTCCTTGCACTGGAATCCACAGGGGCATAGAAATAATGGAAGAAGAAGAAGGTTTCTTGTCTTACTAAAGATGGTTTTAAAGTGATCATTATGGCAGCCTTAACACCAGCCTTGAATTATACTTCTTCTTGTTCACCGGCTGTGAATTCCGGCGGTAAGTCGCGGTTGTTCGTCCAAATGGACTTTTGGCTTTTACCTTGACCTGAGTTTTGCGTGTACATCCGTTTTACTGGCTTATTTGTTTGCAGTTCTTATACTTGAATTATACTCTGTTCTATGCTAAAGTCCGGGACGTGTCCAGGGATCTGGAATGTTTCAAGTGAACGAAGACAAGTCACAAGCTGTGGCAACAAGTTTGAACGGCGTAGTAAATATTACAATTAAGGCTATCCTGATCACATGAGCATTTTTCTTCTTCTTCGCGTTCGCCAGCTGTAAACTCTGGCGGACAGTTCTGGTCGTTCGTCCACTCCTGGACTGCAGTCAAGTTCCAGAACCTGAGTGTTGCGTTTGCATCCGTTTGTCAGATCTGACTAATTTCAGTGCAGACTGTTGGTTCCTTGCCTCTCAGGCAGATGCACTCCGACTTCGAAGGAAGATCCCAATTAGTCGACTCTTACGACATGCTTTTGGGTAGGCAGTGGATCTATTCTTGTTTTCCCTATAATAGGGCCCCGAATCCCACACGGGAAACATGAGGATTGAGTTGATCCAAGAACCAACTACATGCCACTCGGGGCATTCCCATTACTGCTGCGTCCCCATCTTCAGCAGCCAGCGCAAAATCACAAAACCAATTGTACCAGTAGCAGTCTGGTGTTTCAGATTCACTAAGAAACTTGAGATCATATGGTCTGGTCTCTTTAGAATGCAGCCATAACAACTGCCAACACCAACGAGCTGCCAACAGCCTCCCGTTATATTTATGGTCTGCTTCATTTACGAGGCAAAGGATGTGAAAAGTGCGCTAGCTCTCTGGCTAGATGATTCTATCCTAATAGCTAGGTTGCTCCTTCTTGTCTGTGTCACAATGTGGTCCTCTGATGTTTTTCCTGTCCTGCTTCTCCTCTAAGCATGAGAAAGTAAGCTTGCAGACAAGACCCGTGACCCGTCGTTAACTGTAGGGATGACGCAATTCCCTCCCACCCCTAAATTTAGTGAGATTATACCCCCTCCCCCAAAATGTATTAGGGGCTTAGCCCATCTACATACTGGCTAACCTTTTATTCATGCTTTCTCAGACTGTTCTACGTCAGAGGGGTGTCATGTTGTCTTGCCTAAAATTACATGAGGTGTCACGTGTTTTATACTACACGACGACACAGGTTTTAACGACCCCAGAACATCAAGAACTGGCCCTAACCTTAACCCCCCTACCCACAGCCTGAGCCTAGGTCACACGAAAGAATCTTTTCAAAGAAAACAATAAAACGTGACACCAGTCTGACTTAGACCAGACTGAGAAAGTGTGTAGATGGGCCTACTTGCTTAAATATATATTTGTTGAACAATCGAGCGCATTACATTATTATTATTATTATTATTATTATTATTATTATTATTATTATTATTATTATTATTATTAGGCGCTTAACCAGGGAGTGCTTAGAAAATGTATGGGGGGGGGGGGGGGTGGGCTGAACACTTCTTCCTCCTCATCTTTTCCCTCTCAAATTTTCTTTGTGTCGGCACTCCTGCAAGCAGGTGATCCGAGACATGCTTTTTGACTGGTACTTAAGCTAATGTTCTGTGGATATTTGTGTGTTTCTTGGCATGCCTCCTTGAAACATCCTATTAGTAACTTACATAGGCACCCTGGCGGAGCCAGACTTTTCTTCAAAAATGACCTTGGCTCCCAGGTCGACCCAGCCTTGACTGGGTACCGGGTGCAGTCCCGGGAAGTAAAGGCGGCCGGCGTGATGCTGACCACATCACCCATCTTGTGCCGTTGGTCTGTGAAATATAGGTCTAACCGTATATGCAATATACGCCTAAAAGAGTGGAAAAGAATACTTTACTTTTTTTTTTTTTGAAATTTGCGTAAGCAGTGTAGGCTAAGGCGAGGCATGCAGGTTTAAAAGGCAGCAGTTTACATTTTTGGCCACTGTTTTCGAAGCCGGGTTGCATCTGCGTAAGAAACGAGAAACCAACAATCTACACACACAGATGTGTAAAACAGATGCGCACGCAAAACTCAGCTCCTGGAAAAGACCAGGGGTGAATGAACAACCTGAGTTTTGGCACGCGAGATTACGACAGCGAACGCCAAGAAAATGAGTTCTGGCTACTAAACTGCCTGACGGACAGACATGCAGGAAACTATTGCAACAATAATGAACGAACTATACAGCCATCCATTAATTGTTGTCATTGCGAAAGTATAAAATTAGGCAATATTACGGAATCAATAACCTCGGTTTTAGAAAGATACTAAAAAATTCACCACTTATCAAGCTTACTTCTTCTTCTTCTTCTTCTTCTTCCTCTTCTTCTTCTTCTTCTTCTTCTTCTTCTTCTTCTTCTTCTTCTTCTTCTTCTTCTTCTTCTTCTGCTTCATCACCATCATCATCATCTTCTTCTTCTTCGTTCGCACTTTAAAAAAAGGCGGTTGACACACTGTGGTATAGTTTACATATGGGTTGCGATATCGCCTATCAGGCCATCACATCGAATTATTATTCTTTATAGTTGGTCTGAGTCACGTAAATGCACTGTACTTGTTTACAGCAAACCCCTCCCCCTCCCCGAATTAAAAAAAATGGGGTGCCGAAATCAATATGACTGTGGACCGGTATGTTATCCCAAGGGCGTCATTTTACCTGAATAGCAAAATATGCAGTTCCAAGAAAAGGAATCCTGTTCAACAATATGTTACCCAGGTATAAGATGAATGTGACTATTACTGGCTGACATCTCTCCGCCAGTGTCTATATAATTCTAGTCATTACATGTTCACTTTTAAGTTACATTCTACCCGTTACTCCTTTTTTGTGCGTGAAATTGCAGGGGAGACTATTTAATTAAATTGTTGTGTATATTCGAAAAGCGTGTCTGGCTTAGAAGTTCCGGACATATTTTTACAATTCCAGCATACTGGGTTTGAAATAAGCTGCAGGCTATTTTCAGGCAGTCTGAATTGCATTAGCTTAACAAAGATATGAGTGTCGTACCGTTGAGAGACGGAGTCGCCGTGGCCGAGCGGCTAGAAGCTCGTCGCGGATCGGAAGGTCGTGGGTTCGCTCCCTGGCAGAGCTAGACTTTTTCAAAAATGACCTTGGCTCCCAGGTCGACCCAGCCTAGAGTGGGTACCAGGTCCCGGGAAGTAAAGGCAGCCGGCATGATGCTGACCACATCGCCCATCTTGTGCCG